CTTGAACGATTTTTTTATCGTTCAAGTCGAACGATTCCTTATCGTTCTTCTTGAACGATTTTTTTATCGTTCAAGTCAAACGATTCCTTATCGTTCTTCTTGAACGATTTTTTTATCGTTCAAATTAAATGATTCCTTATCGTTCTTCTTGAACAATTTTTTATCGTTCAAGTCAACTCGAGTCAATTTGAGTCAACTTGAATCAAGTCGAATTTAAATCAAATTGAGTTAAATATTTAACTCGACTCGAATTTGACTTGACTCACAAATCATTGAGTTAAAAAAACATAAACTCAATTTGATTTGAACTCGACTCAGCTTATCTGACTCATGAGTTAACTCAATTCGTCCAGAACCTTAATAAATATTAAGTTACAAAATATTGATTCCTAAAAATAAATATATCCTTAAAAGAATTTTTTATTATTGTAAAAATAGCATAAAATCAGAAATACATGAAATCTTTATGCTCAGAATGTACCTGTCTATTGTTTCTTGATTTTTTAGTTGCTAATTTATCGTTAGAAGTTTGCATAATTGCAATAGGAGTTATATTAGCCAGTTGCGAGACGCATTCATCACCCGCCAGACGCACTATTAGGCTAGCAAAAGGCTGAACATTTTCTCCATCTTATACATCCACCAAGACGCACTCATCACCCGTCAGACGTACTATTGGGCTAGGTAGAGACAAGAAGTTTATGCATTATGTTAAGCAGTGTAAAACCTAAATAAGATAGAAGAGTTACTCCCGTAAAACTTTCGATCACAGTTACGTAGAGTGGATTTTTTTTGTCATATTGTCACGTTATACACATGACAATGTTAACAACTTTGCGAGATGTATTAAGCACTCTTTTTTGAACTTAATGCTGGTCAGAATCCTCATAATTCTGACCAAAATCGTGATAATTTAGGCCGGGATGCTTACTTTCAGGAGGGCTTACTAACAGCACGTATTTGATCATTAATGTTATCTTAAATATCAATCCTCTACTTTTTTATCTTAACTTTTTGTGTTCGCGTTTTTATATCTTGATGAAACGTGTTATCTGAGAGGATATAAATCTTTTACAACTTTTACATATAGACTTTAATATGATTTGGATCTCTTCAGAGCATCTTAAGTTCAATGTTGACAATTATTTCTTTGAAACTATGTGGAATGACTGGTCCCTTGTTGAGTTTTTTGAGGTTAAGAAAAGTCAAATCCTGGCTGGTCTTTAAAAGATAGCTGTGCATCATTCATATAAGAAAGATTTACAATTGATCTTGGAAGCAAAACCACCTAAAAACGTCTTCTTCGCCATTATGAAACAACTAACACAAAAAATAATGGAAAGCGAAGCAGTCAAAATGTTCTAGAAAGTAATAACTTTTGAGAAGAAATATAGGGAACAGTTAGCTAATGTTAGAGTCAGTACTTCATTCGAAAGTGTAAGCCTATGTGCTTTACATGTGTTTTTTTGATTATATTGCATTAATTTAGAATCATTTTCTTTTAGAAGGTTCTCAAGATTCACGGGAAAAGATTTGCTGAAGAAATTGATGATGTGGCTCAACGAGATATAAAGCAAGTAGAACTTGGAAATGACGATGAAGATATTAGCATACCTTCAAGAATTACTCAAGTTGAAAAAATAGAAAACGAAAAAGTGGAGTTCGATAAAAAACAAATAGCATTTTGAGCAGGCAACGATAAACAAACTAACAATCAAAAGTTAGATTTATTCTTAACTTCTCATAAACTGATCCTTACATCATATAAGTTTAGTATTATATCATCTAAAGTTATTCCTAGGTTTAAATCCCTTAAAAGTACTCTTAATATAAGATATCCTGAGATAGTAAATAAAATTGAAACTCATAAGGAAGAACAGAGGATATTAACTAGCCTAGGAACAACTCTTAAGGTATGGCTGCAAAAAACTTTATCTGCATCCACTCCAGAGGAGTTATATAGATACCTTAAGGAATAATTGTAAGGCGAAAATATCACAGACAGAGACAAAAAATTATACAAAATATTTGAATTAACGTTAAAGGAATTTTATTTAATGATCAAATACAATCCAAAATATGCTTCTATGAGGTATAATTCAGAGAGAAAATTCCTCGTTAAAAGGGTGTCAACATCATTTAAATTCATCGAATATATATTTGGGACTATTACGATATACTGGATTGAAAAGAAAATTATGTCAACAAAGGCAACAGAGTTCGTAGATGATCTAATTTGTGAACCAGTATCTAAGAAAGCTGATGCACTAGCCATAGACCTTACATATAATATAGACGTGATAAATATGGAATCATCAGAAGGTCTCTTTCAATAAGATAGAAAATATACTCTTGAAGATTCAGAAAAGATCTCCAATACTGGAGTAGACATTCTTCTCATAAGTCTCCGAAAGTTTCTTGACGCTAGTATTGAGACCGCCAAGAAACTTAAAATATATAACATTCAAATCATTAGTATACAAATTATTTCTTGTATTATATATATATTGATATATTGATATTGATATAACAATTTGTAGAAGACTGAATTACACTTATGGAAGTATCTCTTTATAAGCCATGAATATGCAAAGAAATTGAAATCAGAAGTATCACCTTTCCATTTGCTTTATCCTTCATAGGAGAATACATGCGTATTTTTGAGCTCATAACATATTATGTGATATATTATGGTATTATGGTATGTTGTTCTATCTAATCCTATTAAAATAAGTTATTAACTTTGTATATATCTAGGACGAACTTCTCAAGCATCAAGTGGCCATATAAGAGTTGTCTAAAGAAAGTAATGGGATAAAAAAGGTAACTTCATAAATGCTTTTGGATTAGTGAAATAAGACTTTAATATAATCTGCTATCTGTAAATAACTGAAATAGTTGTGTATAGTAGCCTATTTTGTTTTGTATTTAGAGTTATGTTATAGAAAATCATATTGATGTTATGTGTTTATCTGATTTTATTAGCATTATATATACCCATGTATAGTATATGTATAGGCAAGGAAAAAAATAAAATAATACATGATACTGGCGAACTACAAACAGATTGGCCACTTAAATTATGTTGATTGATTTTTTTTTGCATTACAAATTGAAATATCATAATCATTATACTTTAATATCCTTCTCTGAAGTTATATTAAAGCGAAAAAAAATTGCTTTGCAAATGTTTCCTGTAGGTCTTTAATTGCAAAGTTAGAATAAGAAATCAGTAATACTTTGAGTAGTAAAGACTTGGGCAATATCTTCAGAAAATTTTGCACATGTTAAACTGCTTTGTTCATTTCACAATAATTTCTACATCTTCCATAAAATCTTCGTGTATTATTGGTGAAGTTATTGTAAACTTTTCACCCATCAGGATTGATATAGCCAAAATACCGCTTAATTGGGATGATTGCGAACCCTTCCTAGCTTCTATAGTGTCAACGTTCTTTTCACAACCAGGAAACGGGTAAGAGTTCAGAAGTTTTTTTTTTATACAAAGTCTATGGTAAGTATGGCTACAGGCGAGCGTGGTGAATTCTATAATGAAAAATGAAAAAATTTCCTCGTTATATTCGAAACATAACTTTAGTTTTAGAACATTAATATCTCTGACATCTTTCTCTTTGAGACTTTTAAGTATTTTATATCCAAGGATTCTAAGATTAGTAAGAAAAGATGATGATACACTACTTTGCTCTAAACCTGACATGATGGATATATTACTAGCTTTTGCCATTACTTCTTACCAACATTATTCATATAGTCACTTTTATAGTACTTGTAATTTTTGTTGAAGAAAACATTCCCCAAATTTCATCAGCAATTACACATTACATTTTGTCATTTATTACCTTCTTGCAAATTACAGCGATTAGCATCTCATATGGATAAATAGTTTTTCTGAAGCCAGAGGTAAAGTTCATATGATACATTACTTCTGATAGTAACTTTATCAAGGAAAAAAAAATCTTTTATTAATACAGCATGACTTATTACGTAAAAATAAATATAAAGATCAGATCTATGCTTACGATACATTATATCTATTAATATACATGATTAATTTTTTAGATCTTGCACTGATTATTTCTCGATTTTTTAGCTATTATTAGATAATTTGTCTGATTTAATTATTATCAATGAATATGTATAATACCTTAGTTTTACCTGAACTACTTGAAATTATTTTTGTCTTTCTTAGTAGGAAAGATCTTTATAGGAGTTACACTAGAGTAAATCACCAAAGAAATGCTGTATCTAAGCTTATTATTCAGAAAAAAAGAAAAGCTGAGTTTATTAGTATTCTCAGCATTCGTGATAATATTATTTTTCACCTATATGACAATTGTATTAATTATAAAGAAACTTTTTATGAATATATTAACTATTTCAAAGTATGTAAGTTATGGAGTATTATTTTTTCTAATTTTCTAGAAGAGGATCTTTTTTCATTACGAGAAAACAACTCAAAAGAATTTTATAGGCTAGAATATCTTTTAATCAGAAAAATGATTCTTCTGAGCTGATGATCATTACTTCAGACTAGTTGGATTGAACTGCTTAGACTGGATTTCTTCTAGAAAATGCCAAACTTTACATTCTACGTATACCTGTTATATTTTTCTAACTGGATATTTATTTTATCAGATAAAAAAAAATCTAATAAAGTTAATTAGATTTTTATTGATTTTCTCTTGCAGATCTTTGATCAAGAGAGCTTGACCCTTATAGCTCTTTTTTTGGCTACTTTAACAGTGATGTCTTTTATTGCATCAGAGACAGGTAAGTCTTACATTCTGAAGATAATATCCCTCAGCATCATCTATATGATCAATTGAAAATGACTGCGGATGACGCTTGGAATAGCCTTGAAATAGGAGTGGAACACAACAAATCTTATAAACTTTCTTTTGCTGATATGTTATAGAAATTATCTCTTCTGGCATGATTGATGGAATAGCTTTCTCCTCACCATTCTCTGCTAGATAGAGCAGATTCTCATATACCATAGTGTTCTCGATCAAATCAGTCTTATCATCTACCTCCCAATCCTCAACTATTATAGCAGTCTTAGAAAGTATCACTTCTTTTTCTGATCATCTAACCTATGGCGTCTTAATTTTACCTCAATAATTTGAGAACAAGAAGTTACTTGAAGTTCAGTAAGTTCAATATATTCAAGGACACCGTCTGGTAGTTTAACTCGAATCATTTGATTCATATATCGTACTTGACTGCAGGCTATATATATGATATTATTAATCCAGCCTTCCAGGTTATGGTCCACAATAAAATAACGTTTTAGAGGCTTGATAGTCTATCTTTGGATTCTATGAATTATTCTCCAACTAGCATATTTCCACTCAGCAGGGAGTTTGCGCATACTTTCATTTGGATCAAAGCGGATAATTGAAGACACATTAGGAAAGTGTGACTTATAAGCCTGTATTAATGCACTTTCAACTCGCATACCTACCCTATAAAAAATTTGCATACGTTTTTTCATTATTATAAATAAGTTTTGTATACATTTTTTAAAATTCTGTATCACAT